CCCCAAAACCCCAAAACCCCAAAACCCCTGGCTTCTTAAGAGTCGTTGATATTAACAACAATAATTAATAATGCAAAATAAGTTAGTTTCACCAAGAAATATGGTACCGAGGAAAGTCTGAATCAGTGATTTTAAAGAGAACAAAGCTCGAAGAGTAAGCCATCATACTTTTACAGTGATGCATTGATCTTTCTCTAGTTTAGTGTAGGAAGATTTCTTTTGTGTATAGTGAAAAGAATCTAAATTTATTTACCCTGAAGTTTTCAACATTTGTGATTGCTAGATAAATTTTGATGTGAGTAACAAAAGGGTTTAATACATAAAGCCAACTTACAATACTAAAAGAGGTGAAAATTTAATAAAATTGCTCTAGAAATGACAACAACAGGAGTAATTGCTTCTTAAGTTTATCCTACCCTAAATATCTAGCTTAAGCCGCTTTTCTTTTTACTTAAAACTTCTATCTCTAAAAATTAGTGAAATTCATGAAGGCAATTTAATGGATGCTTAACAAATCTATAGAGCCATCGAAGGTCTAAGAGACCTATCAAAGAGAGTTTTCTTGACTTAAACCGGACATCGACACAATTTTGGAACAAAAATCCAATCAATAATAATCGACTTGAAAAGTAAGCAATTTAGTAAAATTATGAAATTTTGCTCTGCCAGAATATGAATTTATGACAAACTTTAGTGGGAGAGCAACAACACTGAGCCCTTCTCCAGTCTCATTTAAATGCAAGAAGAAGTTTAATAAGATAAGGCTAAGAATGCATGAAGCGAAAGAACAAGAAGCTTGACATTTTGGAACGAGAAATCCAGTATCCCCGAGAATTCATAATCTGAATCTAGCAGCTTTTGAACATAAGAAGAAATCAGGGAATTTTAAGTTAACACGCAAGATGAGGCAAACTCCTTTTAGTGCACTTAAGACTAGGATCAAGTCATTGTCTCCTAATTTGAGAAAAGCTGTGCATCTAGCGTTAAGCCACTCTACTGAAACTAAGAGAAAAGCGAAGAAATGAATCAAGAAAAAGAAGATAGTGGCTTACAACAACTGGGCTTCTGATAAATTAATTCCACTCGAACATAATATGAGTAATGTTCTTGGATATATGAGGAGCAAATTTGAATCCTTTCATTCCAAAATAACAAGCCTGAAATCAAGCCCAGGGCTCTGTCAGTCTTCTTACATGCTGAATCAGAAGTTAGAGGAGTTAAGATCAAGTAAGGAAAAGTAAGTATCTATTCATCTTAACAATAGGTCTTCCGATGAACTTCAGATATCAAGAGAGATGAACATCAATTTCTAGGAGACGCCAGTTAAGATCATCAGGACTTGATCAGCTGTATTATTACTCTAATATATTCATGGTCGTAAAAATTAAATAACTTTTTTTATTGGTCTTATTAAAAATTTGTCATTAAAATCGGTTTGTCAAAGAGTAAAAACCTCCGGATTTCTACATCAAGAGATGTGCCGAGAGATTTTCAAGTGTTGAGAGGGTAGGTACTCCAGTTGGTGGTTCATTAAGTTAGAAATTCACAGGCATTTTACAAGGCATGTTTTTGAAGGTTTCAAATTTAGTAATTTTATGGAAATAGTTAAATTTTTTCGTTGTATTTTTCTAAAATGTAATAAACTCGCTTTAAGCTTTGGTGTTTATTTGCTTTATGATAAGATTACAGACCTAATATATAGCATATCTCTGACTATCTTCTCCTGATGCTATCCTTGGAGTTAGCTTATATACTAAATATCTCACAATAAAACACAAAGTTTCCTCTAACTTCAGAATCGAATTTGTAAACCTCAAATTTAAAATAAGTTTGCTTGGCCTTAAATCTGTCATCTAGACTATCAAAACCAGTAGGGAAATCTTTATAAGGAACAAACTAAAGAGACAACAGTGCACTCTTTCCTTAATTTGTTAAAAATATGTATCGATCAAGGTGATATGTTAATGTTTCAGTATTTTTTCGGTCAGGAATACCAAACAACCGAGCTTCTAGTTCTCCTATCAACTCCTTAAATGCATTCCTGAGTGTTTCATATTTTATGGTTTCGTTTAGAAAGAAGGATTAAGGAATCCATATTATTTTTCTCAGTTTCAATACCGTCTCATAGGCGTGGGGTTTTGGGGTTTTGGGGTTTTGGGG